CCTGGGTGGTCTCCGGAGTGGGCCCTGTGCATTCTGGCTCCCCCACCCCCTGCCCCCTGCCCCCTGCAGAGGTCACCATCCCTGAGCAGAAAACAAGCAAGGGGAAAGGGCCCAAGACTGGGAACAAAGAGAAGCGAAGCTTCCTGCTGGAGTCGGAGGTAGGGTTGAGGTGGTGGGCGTGGGGTTGTGGTGGCAGCCTGGCCCCCTGGAGTGCTTGCCCGCCCCGCCCCAAAGGTCTCTGGTTCCGGTTCCACCCCCCCCACCCCGTCCCTTCCCAACCGGGCTCCTTGCGGGGTGGGGGAGAGCTCAGTGCTCCCTCTGTCCGGCTGGAGGAGGCCGCTCCCTCCCAGCCGGACGGCCACGGCCACACTGTCCTGCTGGCCCTGTGCCCCTCTCAGCTCCCCGGGAAGGCAGGGCTCTCGTGGGGCCGCCCCACCCTGTGCTCGGCTCCTTGAGCCCCTTTTTCTTTTGCCGCCCGAGCCTCCCTTTTCTCTTTCAACTTGGGGAGGCTCCCACGTTAATTCGGAACCTTCTGGGCTGACTCCACAGCGCCCGGCAGCCCCAGCCCTCCAGCTGTCCAAGGGTCTGTCTCTATCATCAGACCTCCTGCCCTAGGCAGGGAGGGGCCTCCCCTCTTTTGGGAGTTTTCTCTGGCACCGACACAAGATCCTACCAAGGAGGAAGGTCAGGTAGAGAGGGGCTGGGCTGCCTTCAAACATTGTTTTGTTTTATTAAGTAGTCTCTGTGCCCAACGTGCGGCTCAAGCTCAGGACCCTGAGATCGAGAGTTGCACGCAGGCTCCTCCCCACAGAGTCAGCCGGGCACCCCAGGGGGCTGCCTTTCTGCCCTGGTCCGGTCCGGTCCGTGGGTCGTCCTCTGTCTCCAGCGCTGGGCCCTCCTCGCGCTGGCTGGTTGTTAGGAAAGCCCCAACGCCTCAGGCCTCCGCTCTGGCCATTTTCTCTGCCTGGAACACCTTCCGCCCCCTCTTTGCCTGGTAACCGTCACACGCCCCGCAAGCTTCAGCACAGGGGCCACCTGCTCCCGGAGAGGGGGCCGGGGGGCCTCCTCTGTGCTCCGCACACCCCAGCTTCTCTCCACGGGGCTTGCCCCCATCCCTTCCCCCTTCCCCTTCTGGCTCCCCCTCACAGTGTTGCTTCTGGAGGGCGTGGGCTTATTGTGCCTTTGTATCCCCAGCACCTAGGACAGAGCCTGGCCTATAGCTGGTCTCCAAAGCATGTATGTTGACTGACTGGTGGCCTGGGGGCTCGCTCCCTCTACTCTGCTGCAATTGGGATTATGCTTTAGCAGCTGGTTGCTGAAGCCACAGAGACGGTCAACCCGCTCCTGGAGCCGGTGGAGCACCGCAACGGGAAGGTTTTCGTGCCTGGGAACAAGGTCCTTTTGCACCTTAACCTCCTCCGTATGTCTGCCGAGCACCCCTGTCCTCCTGCCGTGAGGCCACCGGGGCCCTGTGCTGCCCTGGGGGTGCCCCCCCCCAACCCTACGGGGCAGAACACGGTCCTCCCATGGTTGGCCGTCACGAGGGTGGAGGCCCTCCTGCACAGGGTCTGGGGCGAGAGTAGGTCGGGCCGCGGGCCTGGCAGTTGGAGTGCAGGCGGGAAACCAGGTGGGCAGGCAGGAGAACGGGGCGGGGG